TTTTTTTTGCTGCTGTTAGTATATTTCTGTCCTATCTACAGCACAGTGGCATTATATCACGATTGGGAAAACGGTCGACGCGCATACAATTACTTAATAACGGAAAATATGAAACGATTGCTACGACGAAATTACGACATGGCCGTAGCACCACATGTAAGAACAGGTCTTGTTGATGAACAGGTAATTTCTTCTTTTTTTCTGAGTTTTTGCCCATTTCTGTCCCTTTTCTTTGAAAAGGAACAGAGGGGAGTGGTTGAGCGAGAGAAATAGGGAGAGAATGGCGTTCCAGATGTTCCGCAAAATTTTAAAGCTACTAACTGTGAGCTTTGAAAACGAAACACTTTAATGTGAGACTGTGTAGTTTTATTGTTCTGCTTGGGATATTAAGAGTGGGCCGGGGGATTTGGGGGCGGGAGACGGTCGAACGAGAAGAAAGGGTATGCTGTTTATTTTACAAAACTAGTTATTTTACAGAATTCTAAAGTTTCTAACATTGAGTCCTAAAGACAGATGGTTTTAACATGGTGTCATATAATTTTTATTATTCAGCGTCTTTGGGCAGCAACATCGATGGTAGCCTTTGATGAATCGTATACGCGCCGCATTCTTGGTTATGAAAATGCCGAAGAATTCTATCGCGACATCAGTTCTGTATCATTAATACCGAAAATAACAGTACCATTGGTTAGTTAGTATTAGTTATTTCGATAAATTCCCATACTTAGCTTCGGTCAGCTTCAGTATGATATGTAGGAAAGTAATCCTAACTTTTTTTTTTTAATTTTGCATTTAGCTGTTCTCACATAACTTTTTAGTTTGGATAAAGGAGCTTATATTTGAAACCAAACAGATTGTTTGATTGCTATTTTGCGAAGAATTGAGTTCTAAAACTTTTTGCAATACGTTATAAAAATTAGCGATCTTTTTGCAAACAGTCTCAGAAATGGCTTTTCCCTCAGTAACTGTGATTATCTCTCGAAATGGTTGGGGTCTGGTAGCTCAAGTTTAAATAGCTGTGATAGTGAATCGTTGATCAGTTTCTTGATTCCATATATTTTTATGCGTTTTGTGCTGTGTTACAGCAGTACAAAACGCATATTGTCACGGGGTTGTCTATGTGTGTGTGTGTCTATATCCGCAGCAACTTGTCCGCAACTTTCAACTCGGGAACCACAAAAGCTAGGAAACTGAAAATTTAGGGGACGTTCCCCACCCATGTGTGACCCCGCAAATTTAAATTCAGCTTCCCCGTACCCGCGGGTAAGACGTTTCCCACCGACGTGTGACCCCGCAAATTTAAATTCAGCTTCCCCGTACTCGCGGGTAACACGTACGGCCCCGTGGAAGTTTTTTACGGGTAAGTTAATGTCTCGAGAACCACGGAGTCTAGGAGGCTGAAATTTTAGGGTATGACCCTCTGCCCACGCTCAACCTTGCCCATTCAAATTCAGCATTCCCTTACCCGCGGGTAACAGGTACGGCCCGGTGAAAGTTTTTCACGGGTAAGTTAATATTTCGGGAACCACGGACTCTATGAGGCTGAAATTTTAGGGTAATGACCCCCCGCCCTCGCGCAACCTTGCCCATTCGAATTCAGCGTTCTCGCGCTCTCGAGTACCACCTAGGCCTGGTGAAAATTTTGGCGGATAAACCATTAACTCGGGAATTACGGAAAGATGTTCATCCTTGAAGGTTTCGTATTCAGCTTTCATGCGCTGGTGCGTGAAATGTTTAACTGTTTTCCAATGTTTGAACAATTTTTGCATAGACTAAAGTTCGATGGGCTGAATTGCACAAAACGTATGATCGCACCGGCTAGTCTGGTGCGCGTTGCTGTTTATTTATGTTAGCATCCTGCTGTTTTCCTTACCAACTGTGAAATGTAGTAATAGCAGCATGTGCAAACCCAGAGGTGTGAGCCAGCTGTTGATATTATGTGGATTTTGCTTATGTTCCATATTACAAAGGTATAAGACAATAGTTTTGTTTTTCGAAAAAACGATTTTTTAATTGCAGTGTTT